ATTTTTATTATTTGTTCTTTTATAATTGATTATAGTTATGTTTTGTGCCTGATTTTTAAACTTCCTTTGGACAATTGACATTTTTGTTTAAATACTACGTTAATTAATGATTCCGATTTACGATTATTTATTGTTTGTTCATTTATTATATATTTAAAAAAATAGTAATACTTTAAACTATTTTTTTTACTTAATTATAAAAATTGTCTTCTTTTCTTCTCCATTTTAAGACAAGTACTTCTTTTATGTCACACTCAACACCTTTCCTAGCCATCCTGTAATCGGTATTTCTCTCTTCCTACTTCCTACGACCATATTTGACATTGTTTTTACTGTCACTCTCTGAGTATGCTCTAGTTATTTAATTCTTTATGCCTTCGTGTTTACTGTAATTTTAGAGTTCTTATTTTTTTATATATTTTGGGGTTAGTTAGTAGTATAGATACAGAAAAAGAATACCAAGAAGATTGTTAGGACTGAAATATATGAAAAAGATAACATCGAGGAAAGCTGGGAAAAACTCAAATATAACATAATTAATGCAGCAACAGAATCACTTGGAGAGAAAAGTAAAAGACACTAACATATCAAAAAAGAAAACCCCATGGTTTAGAGAGGACGTGAGAATAATATGTAAAAAAATAAGCTTTTTACATACAGAATATAAGAAATATAACAGGCATGCAACCACTATAAACGAATTAGAATTGAAACAAATAAATTAGACAAATAAAAGGGAACACTGGCAGAGCTTCTCAAAACTGATGGAACACGGCTTCTACGGAACATAGAGAGGAACATGAAGAATGATTAGAGGACAAAGAAACGAGTGAACGAACTAATAAAAACAAGACACATTTAGAAGGAAACATGGGTAGACTACTTTCGATCTCTATTTGCTAAATGTGACGATAATGAACCACCTATAATAATGTTGGATAATCATATAATGTTTATTAGATTGCTTCCATCAGGAGTTCCATATAGTGGAACTCTAAAGGTAGTTTACCCCTGCATGGGGTTGATTAACTCGAACTCACTGGATACTCATAATAACTTTATTGGCTTTCTAAGTACCATAATCAAAAAAGTACCCAGTTGACAGATGACAACACTAGTTTCGACTGTTAACTCCTAATTCTGAATTATCTACTCCTGATATTTTCCGGGTATTTAACTCGCGTGCGTTTGTTTATGCATTCATGTTTTATTAATATAATTTGTACACAATATTAAATAAGGTTTTGATTACATTGCAAATTTCACTAGGTCAGCGTCTCGGTAAGCGTGTTCTAGTTAGACCGATATTTTCAATGTCATAAACAAACAATCGCATTGAGCAATACATGACCTGACACAGAGAGGATAAAAAGAATGTTAGAAATAGCAGTACTAAACCAGTTAACCTTTCCTCCGAAGTTCTATTTCTAAGCCAAGTCTTTAGACGCTTAAGCGTAGAAAAACTACGCTCTTCTATTGCTGCACTGACTGGCAGTGTAATTAATAGTAATTTTCAGAAATATTTTGTTATTTGGATTCACATGAATATCGCAGATTTCTATTACTTTTAAAATAGAATCAAGAGGTTTTCCAATATTTTGCACTTGAGCGGTGTCAAAAAAAAAACGCAACTGGTCCTCTAGTCGGTCGGTAAAGATCGATGCGTGTGCGCGCGTTCATTTGCAGCATGCAGTGACATTCATCGATCGCCACACGACATCGATGCCGTGCCGTTTGGCGATCGATGTGTGTGCACGCTCACATTGTTTCTTCACGCCACCAAAGGAATTTGTTCGATCGAACTTTTATCGACCGTCCAAATTCGATGTGTGTGCGCCTAGCCTTACAATACATATTCAAATTACAAACAACCAATTCGTAGACAAAACTGAAGATAAGAAATGCCTAAGACAGAATTAAAATGTGCTGATTTCCTGCGAAAAGTCATGTCATATTCATTGAATGAGCAATAATGTGTGGGCGGTAATTCTATCTCATCGATAATCGAACGATTCTCTGGCACTCAAATGATGAATTGACAAAATTTGAAAATCGCGTAACTCTGAATTCGCGGGAGTCTTAGTAGCGTTAGTCGTGGTATTACTGTACTCAGAATTGTTGATTTTTTTAAAGAGCAATGTAAAAAGGCTTCCGCATAATTCTACACTTACCCCTAGAATAAATGAGTTTGAATCATTTCAACTCTTGACTTCCTGCTTAAGGGTTGATGGGTTTTAAATTATTTTTTTTATGATTATTTAATAATTGATATTTAATTCTGTTTGGCTGGGGGTCATGACCTCCGTGATCCCCCTTGGATCAAATAAAAAACCTTGATTTTAAAGTCTATGAAAAGGTGAAAATCCCCTAAAACCCATAAAAACAATTTTTCAGATATTTAGATTTTATTCAAATACGCAAAACATTAAAAAATTTAACCTGCAGCTACATCCAAAAAAAAGTTATACGCTTTTTTGCGTTTTTGGGTTATGTACAGTCAATCTACGGGTCCATAAAAATAGACAAGTTTTGTAAAAGCCTCAACTATGAGCGTAAATTTTTTTAAATTTTAAAATCTATTGCATCCTACTTAAAAAAAAACGGAAAATTGATTGACTTGACTTGACTTGATTGATTGTTTTTTATGTAGGGGGGAGAGGGGCTGACGGGCTAAAATTGTGCTGAACTTTATTTTTGAATCACATAGAACGTAAAAAGATGAAAAAAAACTGAATTCTTAAAGTGAGTGTATTTTGTCTATTTTAACGGGGGATGTCCTTTGTTTCGTCGTTATATTTACTACTACTGCAATCGTTTTACAGAAATATATTTCAAATCTTACAAATTCTTACATGTTAGATTATAGACTTGATATGTACCTCATCTATAATTTAACCGTGACGATTAAACGCGGTCAGATAGTCATCATGTTTACTAATTTTACTAGTTCATTGTTAAAATGCAAATAAGTTCAGAGAAACGCACATCTACGGAATACTGCTAAGTTTATGTCTTACGGCTATATCAGGCGCCAGCAATGTCTCGGGGAATCATTAGATAGCGCAATTGTAATAGCTCATAGACACATCAAGCAGCGCCCACGCTTAACCTTTCACAACCACTTGAATGAGAAAACAACTTCTGAACCGGCGATTTCCTACTTTATAGTCTCTGTTTTCATTCATGCATATGTCAGGTTTCGAAACGCCACATTTTAACAACCTTACACTCAAATTTATTTGCATATCTACGTGATAATATATTATTAGTAAACAGTTCCTGCGATGGCGTAAAATTATTGTGTGTTTTGATGAAAGATACCTGTTTGAAATATAGAGCAATATAAATTGTATAATGTATTGATACAATGTAGTCCAATGGTGTTAAAAATATTTTTATTATTACAATCATTAATATCAAATAGATTAAATCAATGCTGACCGCAACTGTAAAATGAAAGTAAAAACAATATACCTTGTACATTGTTCTTTTTGTACAATATAAAGTTGTAAGAATCAGAGTTGATAACCATAATTTTTATCATTATGTGGATATATTTATAATTTCTCCTTAAAGGCCAATATATGTCATTTTTTTATACCTAATGCTCAATTTCTTACTTTTTAATGTGGACTTTTGAGCGAAGTCTAACATCGAATGTAATACCCAATTATTTTGCGGGTGATGCATCTTATCCTACTTGGGTATTGTTAGTTCTTCCCTAGATATGTCGAATTCTCTTACGTGTAAAGTTAGAAGTTAACCTAAATTGATTTGGAGTATATTGAAGTTGAAAATATTGAAAATAGAAGAGAATTGTTAAGAGCAATGATAGACCTGGGAGTACCAAATCAGTTGGTAAGTCTAACCAAACTAACCCTTGAAAAAGTTGAATGCAGAGTACGAATCCAGGGGGAACTCTCTGAACCTTTTTAATACAAATAACGGGCTACGTCAGGGAGACCCACTCTCCTGTATACTATTCAATCTAGCTCTGGAAAAAGTAATACGTACGTCACAAATCACAACTACCGGTTCAATATATAACAAATCTGTGCAAATCCTAGCATATGCTGATGATATCAATATTGTTGGGAGAACGGAAAACGCAGCACGAGAGGCGTATGTAGCACTAAAGGAAGCGGCTACAAAAATGGTTTTAATAATAAACATTAATAAAACGAAATACATGAAAGTAGGTCCGCAACCACAAATACGACGGCCACTTGTTATAGAAAACGACGTCATCGAAGCAGTTAACGAATTTGTATACCTGGGAACGCTCGTCAATACTGAAAATGACATTACCGCAGAGATAAACCGCAGAATTTGCACGGCTAATAGATGCTATTTTGGGCTTAATCTCCTTTTTAAATCTACAGCTATATCAAGAAATACAAAAGTAAAACTCTACAAAACAATAATACGCCCAGTCCTAACATATGGTTCAGAAACCTGGACTTTAACAAAAAGCAATGAAAACATGTTAGGATGTTTCGAAAGAAAAATACTGAGGCGAATCTATGGAGCGGTAAATGAAAATGGTGTCTGGAGAAGACGATACAACTTCGAACTCTATAGAATATACCAGGAACCAGATATCGTAAAACACATTAAGATAGGACGTCTGAGGTGGGTAGGCCATGTAATGCGGATGGAGCAAACCGACCCAGCTAGAAAAACGCTCCTTGATAGACCTATTGGTCAAAGAAGAAGAGGAAGACCCAGAACAAGATTCCTAGATAACATAGACCAAGATATGAGAAATATGGAAATACGTGCTTGGCGGAGGAAGGCGATGGATAGGGACGACTGGAAGAGAATTCTTGGGGAGGCTAGGACCCACACAGGGTTGTAAAGCCAAAATGATGATGATGAAATAACAGTTTCATTATGGTGTTACAAATTTAGGGTAAAATTATTTAATAATTTTCAAAAAAATAAAAAATTCGTTTATTGACTGATAACAACTTTAGGATGTTAAGCATTTAGGTTTTAGTTTAATAAGTGCATTGATCAATTGGTATGCAATGTCCAGTTGAGTTACTTCTAATGAATGATTCATTGCATCTACATTTCGGAATACAAATCGGTGCACAGACTCCTCTATTCGGACATTCTGGATTTCTATCTTGGCAAGTTGGTTCCCAACAAGGACATGGAGCACATCCTTTATGTTCGTTTGGTGGACATCTTAAACCTAAAAATAAATGGAATATGCAGAAGTTAGTTTTTTAAAACCACTGTAAACTAAATGAACTAAGAGTATACAAAAATATTAAAATAAGAAAATTTTACAAATTAAACAGTCTTGCTAATAGTAAATCATAGTAAATCAATGTAGCAAAATATCAAATGCATAAGGTCAAAATACATTATTTCTCTACCTCTCTTGGTAGGCTCTCGATTCTATATTAGTTCGATCTGATCTCTTTGTCCTTGTGTTCACAATTATGCAAAGTTTTATCTATAAAGTTATTCTTCTGTGGTCTTCCTCTTGGTCGTTTACTTTCGTAAGGTCTCCAATATTGTATTGTAGTATTCCAACGTTGGTCTTTCTGTCTAGCAGTGTGGCCCGCGAAGCTCCATTTAAGTTTTGCAATTTTTATTGTTATGTCCTCGACTTTTGTTTTGGATCTTACCCAGTCGTTCCTCTTTTTATCTGACAGGCGTATACCTAACATTGCTCTTTCCATTGTTCTTTCTGTTGTAGTTCAATGCAAGGATGCATTGGTTGAACACTTTGCTCCTCAAGTATTGGGATATTTTGCGGTTCTTAAGTATCCAACTAAGTTTTCCAAATTCTGCCCATGCTAGTCTTGCTCTTCTAGTTATTTCCGCACTTTGGTTCTCTTTGTCACGTCTCAGGATAAAGTTTACTTTGGTCTTTTTTTCTAGTCGGGGTGTAATAGCTCGTCGGATTGTGACACACGAGACCTCGCTGGAAAAAGGGTAGCTTAATGTTCGAGAGCTGATCAAATCCGATCAAAAGTTGTTTTAGACTTTTTGAGGCCTGTTCAGGGCCTATTCAAGACCAGTTCAAGACCTACTCAGGACCTGTGCGAGACCTATTCAAGACCTGTTTGAAACCTGTTTAAGATCTGTTCACGGCATGTTCGAGACCTGTTCAAGACCTGTTTCAGAACTAATCAGAGGATGGTCGAATAGTGACTACAATCTAGCCTGAAACAATAATAAATTTAGTGAAATTATAACAGTTGTTATCAGCTGCTAATATAACGAAGCTGTATTATTATCATATGAAAAGCCAGGGCGAAAGATAGTTGGGAATGGAGACTAATTCTTGTACAGGCCAAGACCTACATAGGGGTGAAGAGCCAAAGATGATGATGATGATTATTATCATACATTGTAAAAAAAATCAATCTAAAAATCGAATTAGTTACAAGCTACCTCTAAAAGAAGACGAATAAAGAGTGATCAGGACGCAATCTCAGAAAACAAAAAGAGCATGACAAAAGAATATATAAAGCATAAAGGATACAATGTATTTTTGTATCAATTATGTAAATTGACACAAAGTAGACTAAAACACTAAAATAAATGGATTCAATAACTAAAGAATGGGGTCTTGTTAGCAAACTTGTACTAAGTTGGTGTATAATTAATTAATTTAGAGAAAACTTCTATACTTTACCTTCCGGTAATGGCAGCCAAGCTGATGATATATAAGTTACTTGAACAATAATATACACTACAATAATTTTCATTTTTCAGGCTGTATAGTTAAAATTTTAATGAAAGACAGAAACACAGTTTTATTTATAGAGTCATGTTTTTATTTATCAATAAAGAATTTGTTTAACATAAAACGTTGCATATGTATAAATTTTAATATTTTGTTAACAACGACATAAATTTGTTTCTGATTAACATGTTTTTTCTACTTGTGATTAACCTTCCAGTGAACTAATTTTCTTGATAAACCTTGGCTTATAAAATATCCTGCATTTTCTTTATATCCTTATCGATATTTCTTTTATCTTTGTATGTGGTATGTTTAACGCAGATAGTATCATTTAAAATTGTTTTCCCCTTTATTGGTATACAAGAAGTTTGGTTTCTTTAATTTTGTGTTAGTAAACCTTTGATGATAGTTGGTAGTATTTGTATAAAAAAGTTATAAAAAGTCATTACGAAAGACAGACTATCAATAGGCTTTTTATTAAAATACAGCTATTAGTGATATTTTTCTCAGCTGTTGTTCAGAAATGTAAAATAATGAGAATTATTTAAATTTGCCGCGCATTTGTAGACGGGGCCTTAGCTGTATTGGCGGTTGACACTTCATGTCTTGCCGAAAAAGAGAAGAGTCGCCACCCGCCAGCCGAGAGTGACAGTCGGTCGAAAAAATAGGTTAACAGATGACATGTCGATATAGTCGATATTATTTTGTTATAAGAGTTTGGATAATAAATTTGGTATCTGTGCACATATCCTTTAATTTTTACTAGAGATACAGTCCACTAGCGAAGTTAAACCAGCGCACCAGTTACAAGAGCGAACAGAATCATTCAAGAAAACAAGAATGGTCTAACCTACGCCAACATAAAACAGCTGTTTTGTCATAAAAATTTAGCCTTTTCGTTTTGCGCTTCTTTATTTATAAAACTAGGCTTGTTTACTTCTCAAAATAAACTGCGAGGCATAAGTTAGGGATAATAATATAGTTAAATACACACATCAAAATAATCTAGCGGACAAAAAGAAAATGAGAGACAAACGAATGAAGATTACAGAAGAATTTCAAATAATATATTTAAAATATTTTAAATAAAAAGATATAAATAAGTGTCTCTAATATAAAATTAACATTTTTTCTTAGCATTATCGCAATAGCTCTTAAGAAAATTAAAAGAGATCTCCATAAGTCAAAAAATGGAAACAAAAAAAAATAAAAAAAACTAATTTTTTGCCCCTTAACTCCCAATAAATTAGTCTTTAGGTTAATTTAGTATAGTGTATGACCACCACGGTTGTTGATTACTGTCCTATATTTGTAAGGCAAACTCATGATTAGATGGTCAATGTCCTGCTGCGATATTCTGTTCCACTCCATTGAAAGGCCCTTAAACAGTTGTTGCTGTCTTGTATTAAACGCAATATTTTGTAGTAAAATTTGTCTGCCCTATATGTCCCATACATGCTCAATTGAGTATAAATCTAGGAATTGTGCAGGCCATGGTAAAACCTCGATTTCATAATCTTCGAGGACTTTTTGCACGATCCTGTCAGTATGCAGGCGCTCATTGTGGTGCATTAAATTAAATTGGGGATCAGCTTGTAATACAAGGGGTACAACAGTAGGTTCAAGAATAATTCAGATTGCCAGATCGTCTCCAAATTCTTGTCCGACTTGTATCTGGTGCATATTAATCGGGACACATGTGTGGACAAAGTAGAGGCCCACTCACGTCTAATCTAATTTGCGTGTTCTTGTGCCCACTGAAGTCGATGAGCACGATTTTGTTTTGATGATACAGGCACTCTCACAAGTCTTTGAGCATTTAACCTTACTTAATGCAGTATATTTTAAATGATTTGGCTACTTACAAACGTCTGATGGGACTCTTGCAACCTTATTTGTAATTCGGTGTAATTTAGTAACGGTCTTCAATCTGGTTGGTTATCCTTGTACGGCCTGTATGATGTTCAACAACATCATCAGTTTCTTACGGTTTAACCATAAACGATTAATGATACTTATGTTTCTGTGGAGGATCTCAGCAATGCCTTTTAGACTTCTGCCAGCTTGAAGTATCCCGATAGGACGCCACTGCATGTCGCGTTTAAATGATGTCTCTTTATTATGGTAAATTGCAAAACTAACAAAAAATCCACATGGTAATCGAAAATCAAGTACTATTAAAGAAATATTACTTTTTATCTTATAGCTAAAAACGTGTATTAAAGTTTTTTTTAATTTTTTATAGCCATTGGAAATAAATGGTTTGTAGAACACGGAACAACTATTGGCATGCGAAGTGTTTACTGACGAATGAGAAGTTTTGGCCCGTTTTCTTACCGACCACACTGGGTCCTTCCTTTAACTCCAGAACACCGCCGTAATCGCCTTGTCTTTAGTGACAAGTCTCGTTTTTTTTTAGGCATGTACGATGGTCGAGCGAGGGTTAGAAGGCGACGTGGTGAAAGAAGGAATCCACAGTTTTTTGTTGAAAGACAAATTCATCACACTGTTAGAGTTATGGTTTGGGGTGCTATAGCTTATGGTTCCAGATCACCTTTAATCTTCATCAGAGGTAACATGAATGCGCAGCGTTATATCCAAGAAGTTCTAGAACACCACCTTTTACCCTATCTTGACACCCTGGCAAATCCAACTTTCCAACAAGATAATGCCCGACCACATGTTGCAAGAGTCACAATAGACTTCTTTCAACATAATGATGTCACATTGTTAGCATGGCCACCAAGATCTCCCGACTTATCCCCAATTGAGCACGTGTGGGATATGATGGGTAGGAGATTGTTCAATTTGCAACGTCCTCCTCAGACTCTACAAGCACTTCGAGAGGAGTTGGTGGTTGCCTGAATGATACCACAAGAGGACATTGACCACCTGATCAGAAGCATGCCTAGGCGCATTGGAGAATGCGTAACACATCGGGGTGCATCCACACATTATTAAAGGTAAAAGGCTTTAAAGCAATGCAATCATTTTGAAATTTTAATCATTTACTTATTATGCTTCATTAAGTACTTATACGAAATTTTATTAAAATAAAATCATTTAAACTGGGTGTTCGGATTTCTATGTCACTTAGTATTGGATGAAGTTAATAAAGAAGGCTTCTTATCTCATGGTTATCGAAACTTTTACAGCGTTTTGACATTTAAGTGAAAATAGCGACTTTTTTCATTTATTTCAATATTGTCAAAAAATTACGGAGTTCATAATGCGCAGAGTTTTGGATGGTTGGGAGGGAGGAGTAAACCTAGGTAATGTTAAGATATCTAACTTGCGTTTCGCAGACGACACTACACTTCTAGCCTCTACTCCAGAAGAAATTACTAGATTATTAAAAAAACTCGAGGTAGAAAGTGCTAAATTTGGACTCATGGTTAACTACAACAAAACCAAAATCATGGTTATTGATCGCCAACAACAGTTTCCTGAAACCCAAACTATTGCGGGATGCGAGGTAGTCTCATCTATGATATATCTTGGAGCTCTAGTTAACAACACAGGCAGTTGTGAATCCGAAATTAGAAGACGCATTCAACTAGCAAGAGCAGCAATGAGTGAACTAAACGGGGTCTGGCGTGATCGTCACATTACTATGACAAACAAAAAGAGACTCGTTTCAACTCTGGTCTTTTCCATATTTTACTATGCATGCGAGACATGGACAGTCAAAGAATCAGATCGACGACGTATAGACGCCTTTGAAATGTGGACATGGAGACGCCTGCTTCGAATTCCATGGACGGCTCGCCGTACAAATATCTCGGTTCTGGATGAAATTAAACCGGATCAACGTCTCTCCAGTACCGTTTACTCTAGAATTTTAAAGTTCTTTGGCCATATCCATCGAAGTGATCACAAAATGGAGCGGTTGGTGGTCCAAGGAAGGCCTCAGACTCAACGCCAACGCGGAAGATCTCCACAGCGATGGGCGGACATTACTAAAAAGCTTCTCAATAAACAGTATACTGAGGCAATACATATAACTGATGACCGCGACCAGTGGAGAAATATTATCAATCAAACTGTCCGAGCTGCTGAAGCCCAATTATGAACCACAACACATCTACTAAGATGTTAATGACTGTGATGATGAAAAAAATTACGCATTCTAGATAAAACTTTCAACAGACGACTTTCTTGTAAAAACTTGCTTTTAAAATAAGATTTTCCAAATTAAAAAATGTTCATAAATAAAAAAATTATTGCCAATTAAACCCAAAATAAGCATGTTTTTCAATTGTTTATAATTATTAAAATAAACAATAAAAACATTTAAATCACATTTCATAATGAGAGTTTTTATATAGATACTACAGTTGCGAAAGATGGGCACAATCAGTCAAGTAGTTTTTAAACAATTGTATTTGTTTATTTCGTTTAAGAGAACAAAGGTCATTTTTTAAACCTGTAAAGATGTTTGTCAATACTTAAAATGTTTTTTTGGTCTGATTCTCCTTATACGGTCTTAAATTTTTATGTTTTTTAAAAACTATAATATATTTTAATTGTTTACTTACAAATAATTGATGCAGAATGTAGTACCATTACCATGGATAGTGCCATATTGGCAATACTCCTAACTAATGCCGTTTAGTATATACATATATTACTATGGAAGCTTCTAACACATGTCAAGCGCTTCAAGTCTACAAATATCAATTTAATATCAATTTTTTGCTTGAGTCAACAGCTCTGTAGTGGAGTGTTTTTGTTTAAATTAGCTGCTCTATTTAAAGTTTAATATTTAAAATAATATGTTATTTAGTTGACATTGCGAAAACGTAGTTTTATTTTAGAAAATTTTCGAAAAATAGCAGTAAATTTAAAAACCACATATATCCATCGACTTTAATGGTGTTTTATGAAAAAAGTATTGTCAAATTCTGCAACATATGATAGAAAACATTGCATATATTATGTACATTAGTACCAAGCTACAATAATTGGTCTATCAAACAATATATTGCGTTAAAACAGTTTTTCTCGTTTTTCTCAAAAGCA